TTTCACAGTTCAGTTTCTTCGACTCAGGCACATATCCTCTCTGCCTCAGTGCTAAGAGCCGTTTTCCTTCCATCCAATTTCGGATCCTCTATCTCCTTACTTCCACTTCGTGTCCCCCAATTCTTTACAGCTGTCAAATGTACATGTTGTACTTGCATTGGGGGAAAGGCTATTACATCATGTTAGCCTTTAACAAGTTAATTAGGTCTTTAAATTAAAAAAAAATGTTATAAAAATAATTTGGCGTACTCTGTTTCCCTCTTCTTCTCTTCAACTGCGTGGCTTATTACCGCCGGCTTAGAAATTTCGGAGAAATCTGCTGACTGAAGAGCCTTTGTGGTTAGAAGACTTCTACAATTTCGTCTGTTCTGAAAATGAGCGAATACAATATTACATTTGGTCCCATTTAAAGATTGAATTTGAAGATAGGAAGTGTTGCGGATTTTTACTTAATGACTGAATGGATATTGAACAATAATTGGCATTCCACTGTGATTTATTTTACTTTGTTCGGTTGACACAAAATATTACGATTTTATATATTATCAAGTTATGTTCTCTTCGAAGCCTTCATCGTCTACGAACGTATATTGCTTTTTCATGTATAACCCAAGCGACTTCGAGCTTCCATTTCGGTGGCAACAAAAGAAAAGCGCACTGAATATCTAAAAGTGCACTTTTAGATATTCAGATTTCGAACATTTTCCCACAATCCTAGAATTCAAATTACAGAGATATGAGCATTTCCGGTTACTTCGATGGGTTTGCGATTTCAAAGGTCTGAGGCCTCCAATGATATTGGAGCTAATCATACCACCAAAATGAGGGGAAAAGGCGCTTTCAAACACTCTTCTGAAGATGCGTTAAGGAGTTGGAAGCTTATAATACCATAACTGAAAAGAAGTGAATGAAAAAACAGGATAGAAAAGTACATAGTGGGAAATTGAAAGTCATATTAAAAGACATTTGAGAAGCGATAAAACAAAATACCTTTAAAATCTTCAATAAACATACACCCACACAGGATTCGAACACTAGCATTAGAGAATATAGTTAAATGAGTCAAAATTTAATGACATTAGTGTTCAACTCTGACACGAACACCGTCAACCGCCCCCCCCCCTACCCCCAGTTCAAACAAAGCATGCTGATATATAAAACTAACCCATTGATACAAAGGCGCTATTTGAACAACAAATGAGGAGAACAATGACCTCAAGGTCCTAGTTTTAAAGTGAAGGTTTGCATTCTTTCGATATTTTCAAACCTCCCAAATCTAACTTTTATTTAAGAAAAGGTAAATTCGACGGGACGTTACCGATGCCCTCATATCTAGAGTTGGAGGATTATTATATGGTGTAAATTAGTGGAAGATATTTTATTACTATGGCCTCGGGGTGTGAGATAGACTTACCTCTCCACGTGGTGCGCCCTGGGCAACGTATACTCATATGGCAAAAAAAACCTATTAACTGGCAGTTGGATTTTGACTTCAAGCTACCATGACCCCACTGTATGTCATTTTCGACCACTTTCC